TCTCCACACCGCACACTTTATTTAATTCCGTTAAACCGGCCGATGAAAGTGCACACGAAAAACTGAAAGAATTAAATTTGAGTGCTGACAACACCAAACAGACAAATTTCGAAGACAAAAAAGTGAAAATAGAAAAAGACGAGAAAACTGAAATTATTAAAACGCCGGAGAAGAAGAGCAAAATTGTGACTGTTGAAAAGCTTGAAAAGATGGAGGAGGAGAACGACGAGAACAACGAGAACAACACGGACAACGAAAACGAGGAGAAAGACGAGAAAGACAACAGCGACAAATCAGAAGAGAAAGAAAAAGAGAAAGAAAGTAAAGAACTGAAAACGCCAAAAAAGACTCAAAAAGTCACAAAGGAGAAGAAAGAGAAGAAAACCCGCACGAAGAAGTCGCGCACAAAAAAGGCGAAGACCGAGAAAGTTGACAAACAAGACAAATTCGAGAAGGCCGAGAACTCGGAGATCTCCGAGAAGAGTGAAGTGTCTGAAAAAGTCGACGACCACGAACCTTCGAAGCTTTCAAAAGGCGCAACAACACCGAAAAAAGTGGACGACAAACATTTTCAAAAAGTGTTAAAGAGTGAATTAAAAAGTTTGAATGACAAATGTGAAGAGAAAACGGACTTAGAAGATCAATTTTCTGTTGTAGATGGAGCGGAGACGGAGAGCGATGAGATGGACCCGACGGCGTTTCATAAAGTCGACGAGAAAGTTGTTCCCGAGTTTAGTGAGAGTGTGATCTTGTCGTACACCAACGAGAAGTATGTCGACGACTTTTTGAGCGAAACGGAGAAGACGCAATTGAGTGTTTGGGGGCGGAGGAGTGTGAAAGATATTGTGTTTGACTCAGAAAAGGATCCGTCGGGAAAGAAGGGGAAAACGTTTGGGGAACGAGTGACGCGGTGTGACGGGTTTGTTATAGTTGTGGAAGCTGCAGATGAGACGAAGTTTGGTGTATATGTGCAAGAGCGAGTGGAGATAGGTGTGCCTTTGTTGGAAGAAAATACCGCGTTTGTCTTTTTGTTGAAGGAAAACGGAAAAGAGTCGATGAAAAAATATTCGATAGAAAAGAAAGACAAAAATGTGTCGTTTTTACTCGCCACCCCACAGAGCAAATTTTTGTTTGAGGCGGAAGATAGAAGCGTGTGGGTGACGAAAAAGATACAGAAGAAAAGTGTGTGCTTCTTGTCGGACTACGACGAGAAGAACGTCGCCATTAAAATGGGAAAGGAAGAGGAAAAGAAGAAGGAAAAAGAGGTCAAGAGGTTTGTCGTGTTTCGATTGGAGAAACAATAACTTTGCATTTTTAGTACTTTTTTGTTAATAAAAAGATCTGTTTGATATTCTAGATCTGTTTATTGAAGATAAACTACACATCTGCTTATTTTACAACTAAAAAATTGGATTTAAAAATTAGTTTTATTAGATAATTACTCGAATGGTTATCATTTTCATTTGATAATTTTTTTGTGAAAAATGGTGAATTATTTTAACGTTTGGATATGAGCGAAACACTTTACATTTATTGTAAAGTATAATAATACTCTGAAAAAATTGCTTTTGTTATAAAAAGTCAAACAAATATATTTACTCACGTATTTTTTGAATCATAGTACAGTCAAAGACGTCCTTTTGTACCAATATCATCAGAAAACACTTTCATTTGTTGTGAATAAAAATATTATGTCGAAAGTTATTTTTATTATCAAATGTTATTTTTTAATGAAAGGGGTTTTTAATTCAACAAAAGTTACTTACTTACAAAAAAATATAATATTTATGTACCACATCAAAATGATCGATTAAACGTGCCACAAATAAACGAATTTAACTGTATCATTGTAAATATATAAAATATAAACTTTATTCACACACAAAAAGTAAAAAAGAGTCAAAAATTAAAAATGTTTTTGAATGAAATAACATATGATTGATTGATTAATTGTTGTTATTATTAATTTTGATGTTTTTATTTTTAAAAATATAAAATTTATTTTTTTAATTTGATTTTTTTGAATTATAATTATTGTTAAACTGCAATTTGTCCAATTTATTCAAACAATGTTATAACTTGTTTGAAATAAAATAAATAGAGTTTGAATGAATTCGTATTATATCAATGTAATTCGGTATTTATAAGTATATACAAAATCACAAACATAAGAAATTGGAATAACAATTTATTAATATAGTTAAAATAAATGTCATTGTAAATAAAATAATGGATTAATAAAGTTGTATATTTTTCTGTTATACCATAAAAAAATGTTTATCTTCAATTTAAATATCTTCGAATTTAACACATTAGCTACATTTATTTTTAAAATTGATCAAAAGTTACAACATATTTTAAAGTAATTATAACAAACATATTTTTTATTTATTCATAGAATTGTTTTAAATATGAAATTATTATTATTAATATAAATAAATTTTTGAGTTTTTGATTTATCACATATTTCATTTTAAAACAAAGTGTGAATTATCTTTAGGATAAACAACATTAATTTAGAGTTAAAGTATTGAATTGATTTTAAAATAGATTAAAATATTAATGAAATACAATTTAGGTGTATAAAAGTATATTAAATTCAAAGATATATTTTAACATTTCCAGATTATTATGTTTTAACAAATTAAGTAAAATGTTTTTAATCATAATAAAAATGGATTAGGACATATCAATAATACAATATTTTCAATATACTTAATTATTTGTTAACAAAAGTATATTTTTTGTCCAATTACTGTTATCTAAAATATGTATTCATTTTGTTTTACCTATTTGGTGACAAAAACATACAATAACAAATTTTTATATTTAAAAGCATTAATAATATTAAAAATACCAAATTTTTAATTAAAACTGTTTTTATTAAATTATAAAAAATAAAAAATTTAAACACGTTGTTTTCATCTAAAACACAATAACATTAAAATTATATTATTCTAATAACATTGAAAGAATTATCAAAAACGACATTTATATAACAACAAAAGTTACAAAATAAATAAAACGGCTCATTCGAAACTAAAACATTCACAAATCATATTAAATTCAATGTAATACCATTAACATTTTTTTAAGATTCGAGTGTTATTTTTATGATAAATTAAATATTACAGACACTTTATTATTACATGCATTTTTGGGTCACAGAACAAATTAAATATCTTCGTCAAAAATTGCATTTCTGATAAATTCGACTCTTTCAAAAAGCATTTTCCTGATGTCTTCGGTCTTATCAACACCAAACGCGTAAAACAAATAGACGACTTTTTGATCCGTCACCAAATCTTCAACGCCGACAATACCTTTCATTGCTACTGTTTTCACTATTTCCAAGTCAGTAGTCGTCCATAACGGTTCCTTTTTTTCCAAGAAGAAAGAAGGTAGTTTCCCTCCACTTAATATGCAATGGTATATGTCCTTCATTTGATCAGAGAAGAATTTAGTAGTTTTCTTGTGTCTTGGTTTGTACTCGGGGAGACATTCCATATGGCATTCTTCCTGTTTTTCTACTTGCAATTGAGAAAGAGAAATATTAATATCCAACTCGGGTAAGACAATTGGAGCGTCATATAATTGGAAGTGGTGTTGGCCAAGCCACTCTCGTGAAATTGGACTTTTCTTGAGTGGTATTTCCGCTCGACTTTTTGCTATAACCCGTGACATCTTTAGACGAGTATTTTCTATGTCGTGGACACTTTCTTTGTGAGCTTTTTTATTAAATGGGGATATATATAGACTTCTCATTTTCATTGGACGTTCATCATTTATTAAACATTTATCGTGAGTCGTTTCTTCGTTCTTTTTTAACACAATTTTTCTTTTTAAGTTCTTTTTTTGTGGTGTACTTTGATCCAATTGTGAAGGTAGTGGATTTTTAAAAGAAGTGTAATATAAAGTATTTAAATGATCATTATCTGAGATTGGAGATAATATTGGAGGTGTTATAATTATGTTGTGTTGTATGTTTGAATTGACAAAAGCACTCTTTGTGGTGTTCATAATGCATTGCGAAGATATCCTTTCCATGTCTGATTAATTAAATGAAAAATTAGATTAGTAAGTAAATCCATGAGATTGGCTTGGAACTATTGTTGACTTTTTGTTGTTTTCCAAAGTAATCTTTTTTCCTTCAAATTCAAAGGTTTTTGAAGTGTTCTATTTTTGAATTTGTTTTCTTTAAATGAAAATGATTACAAAAACAACAATACGATTCCCATTATTGAAAAGAGTATAACAACTTTTTATTATTTGTTAGTAATGTTCTAATTTAATAAAAACTTTTGGTAATAAATAATTTCGTGTTTTTTTAAAAAGCTTATTTAATTGTTTATTTTTAAGTATTTTCTATACAATTTCTGTGGGTTCTAAATTGAATTTAGAGTGAACATTTAAAATTGAATCGATTCTTGTTATTGGTTAAAATTTAATTAAGTAATTATCATTTAATTTGATTGAATTAATTATCTATGTTAAATTATATTATAATAAGTGAATTTGTGTGAACTTATTAAGTTTCAGTTAAAAGTATTGTTATCTTAAATTATTAATATACAGTCTTAATTAAAAAAATACAACACAATTGTTATAAACCAAGTTAAGATATTATTATCAAGTTTGTTCTACTTTTTAGGAAAAACAAAATGAAATAAATCCCATTTTCAAAAAAGTTTAACAAACAATTTTTTTTAAAAAAAACATTAATAATAAATAGCAGTTACATCATTTTGTAAATGTCTGTTATAATGATTACAAACATGGTACTAAGGTTTTGACCAGGACCATGGTTTCGACTTATAATTAATAATTTTTACCATTGTAAAAACTAAATATAAAAATTTTTATTTGAACCATTTAAAAAAAACAAATAAAAACTTGTTTGTTATCATTCAAATAGTATTTAAATA